ACATCAATACAATATCAAAAATTCTTATACAGTTTATACTTCCCGTCATGGGTAAATACATTAAAACATCAATAGGATTCATATCATTAGCAATTCATGCAGTGTGCTGGTGCATTAAAACATCAATAAGACATAAAAAATGCTTATATCATTTATAATTGCTGTAGAGGATTAATAGATAAAGACATCAATAAATCATCAAAAATGCTTATAACATCAGCAATTCTCGTAACAGGCTAGTACATTAAAACATCTATACAATACCAAAAATTCTTATATAGTTTATACTTCTCGTAATGGGTAAATATATTAAAACATCAAAAGGATTCGTATCATTAGCAATTCATGTAGCGTGCTGGCGCATTAAAACATCAATAAGACATAAAAAATGCTTATATCATTTATAATTGCTGTAGAGGATTAATAGATTAAGACATCAATAAATAATCAAAAATGCTTATAACTAAGGCCCGGATTTTGATGACATTTGCATTTTTTTGCATTTTTTGCATTTTTGGACATTTTTTGTCCTTTAGAGCATTTTTTGAGATTTATAGGGCATTTTCTTTAAAATTTTGGGGCGTATTTTGCATTTTAAAGCATTTTTTTTAAATTTTTTGTTACATTTTTCTAATTTTTATTATTTTTTATAATTTTTTATTATCACACAGGCTTTCAATTAATGAAGAAAATTTTTAGGATATTAACAGGTGAAGCAACATCTTTTCAAATTGAAGAAGAATTGTCAGTAAGTGTGACCGTCCTTTTCAAGTACGCACCAATAACATCAGTAGACGTTGAAAGAAGCTTCTCCTGGTATAAAAATTTGCTTTCAGACAAGAGACGCTCGTTTACATTTCAAAATATTAAAAAAAAAATTTAATAATCCACTGTAATTCTGATATTTAGTAATATTATGAGATGGAAGTTGTTATATTCATTTAAGTTTCTATACAAAATGAAAATGTTTTGGAGTCAATATATTTTCCTTTTTTTTGTTATTTTTGGATATAAAACATATTTGTCAAACTTTAATGAACGTAGAACAAGTATTGCATTGCTTTATATTTTTTGAAACGACTCATAATAATTTTAAAGAGTAAAACATTGTTTTAGTTCAATATTTTTACTTCTATTTAAGTCATGTCATAAGGCATTTTTAGCTCAATTTTCGCATTTTAAGGGCATTTTTTGCACTTTTAAGGGCATTTTTTGCACTTTTAAGGGCATTTTTTGCAGTTCATAAGGGCATTTTTTGCACTTTTTAAGGGCATTCATTGAGATTTTTTAGGTCATCAAAATCCGGGCTCTACTTATAACATTAGCAATTCTCGTAGCGGGCTAGTATATTAAAGCATCAATGCAATATCAAAAATTCTTATATAGTTTATACTTCCCGTAATGAGTAAATACATTAAAACATCAAAAGAATTCATATCATTGACAATTCATGTAGCGTGCTAGCGCGTTGAAACATCAATAAGACATAAAAATTGTTTAAATCATTTATAATTGCTGTAGAGGATCATTAGATTAAGACATCAATAAATCATCAAAAATGCTTATAGCATTAGCAATTCTCGTAGCTGGCTAGTACATTAAAACATCAATGCAATATCAAAAATTCTTATATAGTTTATACTTCCTGTAATGGGTAAATACATTAAAACATCAAAAGGATTCATATCATTGGCAATTCATGTAGCGTGCTAGCGCATTGAAACATCAATAAGACTTAAAAATGTCTTATATCATTTATAATTGCTGTAGTGGATTATTATATTAAAACATCAATTAAACATCAGACAGTTTCATATCTTTAGCAGTTCTTATAGCGAGCAAGTACGTTAATAAAGTATCAAAGTAACTAATATCATTTATAATTCCCGTAACAAGTTAATACATTAAAACATCATAAAGACTTATATGATTAACAATTCTTGTAGCATGGTAGTACATTAAAACATCAATAAAATTTAAAAATGGCTATCATTTAAAGTTTCTGTAGCGGATTGTTATATTAAAACATCAATAATACATCAAAAAGGCTTCTAACAACGAAATATAATATAACCATAATAAGTAAATAAAACCATAATAAAGATTAAAGATAAATTAGATTTCTTTTTATCAAAATACATATTCTTATCTTGATGTCTAGTTTTAAATCTAAACAAAATAATTAAAAAAAGTTTTTTACTTCATATAGATCCGTTGTTCAAAAATTGTCTTCTTCCTTTGAAATATTGGTATAATCCTAGAGTAGCCCTACTCTTGGCGACTTATAGAAAATTCCTTTGAATCAGCAATAATCGCCACTGGGTGGGCTATTCCAGGATTTACTCAAAATGTTTTCTTGATCTCGTTGTACTGTTTTTCTATTGTTGTTTGTGTTAGCTGGACATTTTTATGTTTCTATACATCGTTATAAAAGAGTGAAATAATTGATCTAAAATAAAACATATATACTTTCTTTCTCAAATTTATCACTTTTAATGTGATAAATTTGAGAAAGAAAATTTTAATTTTGGATACACACAGTACTAATTTGCTAACTGTAATATTGTACTTCACTGCTTTATCAATTCTAACGTAACTTAAATGATTAAATCATAGCATATTATTCGTTCCGTAGAAAACTATTAAATTCATGAAAAGTAAATAAAATTACTCAGATTTTTGTTTTGTTTCATTAGATTACATGATCTAAGGAGCCGTTCACTGCACACATTGATTAACTCCATTGAATTAAAAAAAGAATATCACAATAATGGAATATTATAATAAGAATATAAGATCTAAAATTTACATTATTTCTTAAATTTCTTACATAAAATGATTTCTTTTACCATTTAGAGGTGCTACTCTTTATTATTTGGATTGGAGAAATGTATCTAAACATAGAAAGCTATGTCTAAATTTCATACATTTATTTCAAGAATTGGAGTTAATCGATATCTGCAAGTAACGGTTCATATATTGAAAGGCCTTTACATCTAATAAAAAATTTCCAAAACAAATATAACTTGCAGACATCGTGAATAGGTTGTATCTTGAAAAGAAACAAAATGGAATTAAAAAATATAGACGTTGATTGTGTCATCCGCTTTTTAAACTAACCGGGTGAAAAAAGTGAACAACTGTATTAGATAGTTGAAAATACTGCAGCTGTAGTAGGGTTCAAGCTCCATGAATAAAAAACCCTATTCGAAATTGAGATGAAATTTCGCGTTATTACGTTAACGAATAAGATTTTAAATTCATCACTGGTGATTTTGTAGACAGTATTATCTGATACACAATATTAATTTGGTAAAAACGATATTTCACTATTACAGTATAACATGGTACTAGATTATGGATAAGTAAATATTTATATATTTCATTTCACAAGCAATAGTATTATAATATTGTATAAAGAAAAATTCTACAATTATTTTAAAAGATGAAACTGAAGGATAATTATAAAATAACTATAACTTGTGAATGTTGGGGAAATCTAACCACTTTTCATGCATAAATTTTTCTCATTCAAAAATAATGAGCACATTTGAAACATTGTACATATTTTATATTTATTAGATTACATTCGTAATATTTTAATAATAAAATACGCATACTTATATTAATTATTTGGTTATTGTATATCAGCAGTAGGAACTGAAAATTATATTTTTCTGCAAGAGGTATGATTTAGAATACAGTTTGCTTAATTCATGCACTCTAATTAGTACCAGCCTAAAAACTATTGCGAATTTATGATTAAGAGAAAACGTAGAATAATCTAAATTAATTGTTTAATAGCATAATACGAAATATGATATTAAATTTTTGAATTATTACAAGTAGAGTTAAAATGTTGTAAGTGTATAAAGTTTAAATGGAACATGATGTTACCAACTTTAAAGTTCATGCGTGACTTTATTAAGGATTGAGGCTGCATCATTTTCGGATGTGTAAACAACTTTCTTCTTCTTACGCTTTAGAAATTGGTTCGATTGAAACCTTTGACATAAAAAGTACTGACAGAGGTGGTTGCATTGCTAATCAATAATTATTAGATCATAATTGACTAATTAGAAGGATTCTAACTTAGTTTTTCATCATATTTTCCTTCCTGGGAACAAGAAAAATAATTGTCATCATGAGAATTTAAAAAAAAGGAAATAATTCCATTCAGTTCCTATAAATTCAGATGCAGATTGCGAGTTTCTGCTATCAAAAAGTCAATTTAATCAAATTTCAGACGCCTTAGAAAAGTTAAATCTTTTTTAAGCAGAGTTCTCAATTATTGTAGCACTCAAATGTTGAAATGTTGTCTCACTTACACTATAAGCCTCACTTACGTAATAAGAAATTTAGTGATGGGTGTGTAAGTCTCCTTAGAAATGGTTCTCAGCCAGTTTAAATGACCTGTTCAATAGATGATGTTGATATGGTCCTCCTAAATTTTACCATGCGCCGTTTCAAGTGTTCTCGTGAATGATGTGAAATTTAGACAAATGTGTAACGTTTTAAACAACGAGTCATCCAAAGTTCGAACAAAATGTCAAAAACAAGTAAAACATAACGTTATAAGCTGCTAAGTATTTATATATGTTGTATTTAATTATCTGTACATTACTTAAATACTGCGTTATCCATACACAGGCTGTTAAAAAATTTCATTAAAATTTTTAAGAAACAATAGATTTAATTAATCATTTAACGAAAGTGCACAGCGACCTGATCCTTCTGCGTCAAAAGAGTTTCTTAATTAATACACTAGACTGCTCCTAAAGCAATGCTTGTCTTTAAAAAAAGAAATTACGATTCATGCAATTTTCCTCCAATATGTGTGTTGAAAATGATGTTTATAGATGCAAGTAGTTATATCAAAGAAATCTGGTCATGGAGTTAAAATAGGATTTAGTAACAGCTTATTTTAAAACTTATAATAATATTGTGCTTGAAGAAAGGTGAAAAAATGAAGGCTGTGTAAGCAAAAAGTCATTTAGATATCAGGTTTGCTGGGGTTTTGAGCGTAACCATAGGCTGTAGGTGATTTCCATTATCAAAGTAAAAATAGCCACTGCCCAGCCTATCCCAAGTATAATAAACACACCACTTAAATCTGATAACCTTAAAGGTGAGGTTAATGCACTATGAGAATAATTACTGTTCAAATTTCTCTTTAATTCGATTTTGAAAACGACATCGTTCGCGAATTTTTTATATAAGCCGCCACTCAAAATTCGGAGTATCATTTGATTGAAGCGCTCTTTGCAGCAAAAATCTTTCCTGATTGCAACACCTGAAGGAAAATCTCCAAAAATATCTTTCGAATAAAAGTACATTTCAGGGGGCCCGAAAAATATTCGCAAAAACGTGGGGTTCCCAAGTATTGCTACGTCTTCTGGAACAATTTGGCTGATATTCGGATAGAAGTACCATTTATTCTTTTTAATGTATTCCCCTAATCCTTTGAAATGAGGTACAATGCTTTCAGACAAATATTCTGCTTCAAGGGTGGGACCCGCAGCCAGACACTCCATTTTCCCCTCTCTGACTGCGGTGTAGAGATCTTTGAAATCTTTTATTTGTTTCATTTTGATTGGGGACGTCAAAAATGATAACAGGACAGAGCTGTAACCTAGAATCAGAAAATATGAATAAATGAGCCAAATTCCAAGTGGTATCCGCCTGGACAGTGAACGAGGATTGTAGCTTATTCCTTGTGCGAAAGAAGATCCCCACACATTGATGAAAACCGAAATCATTGAGTCTTTTGGTGCAATCAAAGATCGAAATAGCACTGTCATTAAGAGCAGTACGGCAAAAAATAAAATCCATGTGAGACTGCTGAAAGGATACGCGAATGCTGCTGTTTTTGGCAAGAATGAAGCGTGATTCATTATAAAAGTTTTTTCAAGATTGTAGTAAGGTACGCTGAAATCTGCAACAAATGACCTCTCTTCGGTGACACTTATGTAGGTGAATGCCATGTCAGTTTCGTTCCTTGCGATCATTCCCATCATTCCAGTCCAGTTTCCGAATGCATCCTTGAAACCGTACGAATAATCTGAGGGAACAACAATCTCATATTCGAAATTTAGCGAGCGTGACAATAGTTTTATAAATTCATCTTCAACACCCGAGATAATGTTTCTGTTGTTGACTCTTTTTAGTTTTGTAGTTATGGTATCGGGTATAACTGCTATTCTAAGTTTATCGGGAAAGAATGCCTCCATATTTTACGGAATCTTTTTAGGTTCAGTTTCAGATCAAGTGCTTTGACTTAAGTTAGTTCTTGAAGACTTGCAGAATATAGAGAGGTTGCGTTTTTACGAAAATTCGTTAGTTCTTCATAAGATGAATGAATTCTTCATGGAAATATTCTTTTGGAACTTTTGTGAATATTTTACGGTTGTATAAAAAGCTGTGATAGTGATTCGTGTTGATAGTCAGGTTTGAAATTAGCTTTGATTTATTGAATCAAGTCTGTTCTTGAAAGCTAACAGAGAAATAAAGAAAGATTATGAATTACAAGGCTAATCTTGCTAAAAAGCGAGTTTCTTTAACTATATATTAATATTTTTAAAGAATTATTAAATAATAATTAGTTTGTATATTTTCAGTCCAGGTAGAAATCATTATTTATTCGAAAAAATATATTAAATGCTCGAATTATTTGCACACAAGTTAGTCCATGAGAGTTGCCAGGTAAAAATTTGAACTGTTAAAGTCCCTGATATTTAAGAAAAGGAAGGAACAGGAAAGTGTCGAATGCACAACAGAATTTTGAGTTTTTACTTTCGTTTCAGAGCTTTAATGAATGGATTGTTCCTCAGAATACATATCTTATTTAAGAGTAGCTCATTTCGAAATGTGACATTTATACGTTTTGCTGTCAGGGTTTCAAACACTCTCTTGCGATTTTTTTAAAATTTATTTTTGCTATTGTTTCTTATTACATCTGAGAAAATTACGAACAGGTTTATTTTCTGGAATAGAAACTCGTTGTTAAATGTAATGATTATTAGTAATGAATAATTGTGATGAATTACAATAAAGAAAACACCTAATAGAGAAAAACAATTACAAGAGTTGTAAAAGTAATAAAAAAAACTTCTATACTACCTCATTTTTTTTAATTCCTGAAGAAACATTTTGCGAATTATTTTGAAACTTAAGAAGTGTTTAAATCATGCAATTTCTCAAAAATATCAATAAATTTTAAACCATGTTTGAGGGACTGGCAAATATGAATACGGATTAAATTAATAAATTTATAAATTACGAATTAAATTTTTATTTTGAACTCTCTACATCAAAAAATATGGTGATAAACTTGTAACGTAAATCAATTACTTTGGTTATTATATGCAATAGTGCACAAAATTTCGTAAATCTAGCTTAAATATTCGTAGAGACATGAATATTTTTTTATCTTAATTATTTTGCGTTGGGTTTTCTAACTATATCTGCGAAAATATTTCGCTGTAAACAATTTAAAAGTTTTTCGCAGTAATTTTTCAATAATAATAAAAGTATCATTTTAAAATTAGAAATTTTTTCTTTAAAAATTGCTCAAGATACAAGTAGTTAAAGTTATCCTTTTATACGGCGCATGCAAGTAAAACTTTAAAATATAAATTTTTTATTTTATTTTAAATTATTTATTTTAAATTGTATATGGTAACATATAAAAAAAGTCCGATTTGTATATCTTAAAAATACAAAATGGTCTTAGAAGTTCTGGAAAATTTAAAAAGAAAGTTTTGAAGGGTAAAGATCTAGCCTCAAATTATAATTTGAACAGTTAAACTAGATTTATGAAAAAAGATTCATTAAAATGGCAGAGGCATTACATGGAATCATTCCCGATTAAATTATTTCAAGTGTTTTCTTTCCAAATATCATCACAATTTGTTCCTTATCATCATTTTAGAATATTTTGATTTGTTATTAAAGTATGTTATATAGTACAAAATAAAATTTGTTATATATAACAAATTTTATTATATACAACAGTAAAATATAATAACAGTTATATATATACGGCGGAAAATCCCCTTAGAATTCAGAGGATTTAAGAAAAAGTACGATAACTACTTTAAAAATTTCTTAAAACTTACGACATTTTCAAGATGTTCAAATAGGACGTTCTTTATTTTACCAAATACGATTAAAAAAAAAGAAAAATTATGAAAACAATTTTATTCAAATATTTTCCTCGAATGCGCAGTATGAAACGATTCCTATAATCAATAATATCTTGCGTAATCTCTAACGAATCTCTTTCAAATTTTAAAATGATAATTTGTTATTAATTAAAAAATTCCTAGTGATTCCTAGTGAGCCTCCTAGTGATTTAAATATTTTACTTATTGATTGCCGGAGTGAGTATTCATTATTCTTTTTTTTTTTTTTCAAATATAAGGTAAACAGGGAAAGCTTGACCCTCTTTTTAGTCATTAGACTGATCGAAAGTTTGGGTTAATTTTGCTTTTTGTCCAGTATGTCATAGCTAGAGAATCTTTTTAACTGTAAATCCTTTTTAAAATTTTTGTACACAAATATAAGTTTGATTTCTCTTAAGATTAAAATAATTTTTAATGGATTTTTATTACTTTGTTTAATAAATGTCGAATAAATTTTAACCTCTACATACAAATTCATACATCGTTTTAAATCGGTAAAATAGCTTCTCAGAAATAAATTTAAAAATTATATCTTTTTAAAAATTTTGTAACTTAGGAGATATTCAGCCGATTTCACACTAATTTTTTATTTTTGTCATTCAAAGTGGCTTAGAAATTGTAATGACTTACAATTTAATGTTTTTCCATCCTTATTAAATGAAATAATAAAAACGTATTTGAAAAACTATTAAAATTATTGTTTTCATTGGCTATCTTTGTTTAAACTAAACCTATAAGTGTATGCAAAAGTTTTCGAATATTTGAAACATTTTTGAGGTATGAGAAACGCGAATTTGCTGCAGAATTTACTATTGTGTGCTGCAGGTTTATAATATCGTCCCTTAAACTTTTAGCTAATTTTTTAAAATTAAAATTGCTAAAATTTAATTTCCATCAAATGGTTCCGTTATAAGCTATTATATTTGTAACGGTAACTAGCCCTCCTCCCCCCGAATTCAGTCTATTTTAAAATGATCCAACATAAGAATAACTACTCTTTTGATAATTTATTATTGTTAAACCACCAGAAATTTCATTCATTGGAAGTCAATTGCTTGAATAATCATGAATAGCCATTACAACAATGAGAGAACTCAGACTGATTCATGATGCACCAATATAAAAAAAGCAATTTGTTTTGATAATCTGTTTCTGCTTTACCAACAAGAATTTCAACATTGTTTCTTCGAAATTCATTTCGGGGACAATGACCAATATTAAGTGATGAACATTGATTGATCAAAATTTCCATCCACATGTTATTAGTTGACCATCAAATCAGTAAAGCATTATCTTTAAACATGAAATGATTGATGTTATTGGTCCTACAGTAGGGGAGAGTGGGGTCAATTGTAACAGAGCAAAAATTTTGAGTGTCGGGTTCTAGATTTGGTTCCTAGGTGGCGCACAAGGTGTACTTAATAAATCTACATGTACAAGAATTTTATTTTAATTATTATTCTCCACTACAAAGACGTGGTTTTTAAAAATGTTATTTTTTATTTTGAATTTTATTATTTTAAATTATAATTTTTTTAATTTTTCATTTTTATTATATATTATTTTAAAATTTATTACTTTTCAATTATTATTCTTCACTACAAAAAACGTGGTTTTTAAAATTATGTATTTTTATTTAGATTATTTTTCTTAGTCAAGACTACTACAAGACTACTCCTAAAATAATAGAACTTTCATTTCAAATTAGGGATACAAAAATCTTTATAGAAAAACAATACATTTACGACTTTCATTAGTTTTATGCTGATGACAACCAAAACAATCTGGAAATGAATGAGGAAAAACTGGATCCTATCACGTGATTTTTCAGCCAATAAAAATACTCCGACAATAAAAATCTTTTCACCTGACATGTAATACTAATTTGAAATAATCGAATCGACAACAAAAGACAATCTCGAAAATAAATTTTTTTAAAATTTTAATTTTATTTTACTTTGTATGTCTTTTTCTCTTCATTTTCATGCATTGTCATCCAATTCTGAACTATGCCAAATTTGAAGTTTGTAGCTAGTCGGGAAGTTAGTTTAAAATCGATTACAAAATTCCACCCGGACAGACATACACGAAAGCAAGTTAATATAAACGTGGTAAAAATGGTTAATTTTATAATCTAATAGGAATGCAACAATTTTTTTTAAAAACATTAAATAAACTTAACGTATTTTAATTACTGTAAAACCTGTTTTTTGAAGAAAAACAACCAAAATAATAATAATTTAAGTTAAATAATAATAATAAAGATATTATATGAATTTAAAATATTCGAAATATTTTTTTATTCGACAGATTTTAATTTATATTAGGTTTCTGCAATGAGAACAGCAATCTTTATTTTTACTAAAAAGTAACTAGATAATTAGAGGGAAAATTTTTAGTGAAAATTAAAGTATTCCTTTAAAAAAATTTGAAGTAGGATTATTTTGCTTTATTTCAGTTGGACCTTCGATTCTAAAGACAATTTATTTTTTAAAAATTATTAATTTCATAAAAAGTCCTATTTAATTTGTGCAGTGAAATTTAGCCTCGCACACTTTGAGACACTCTTTAAGTTTAACGCTTTTTTAAAAAAAAAACAAACAAATATTAAATCTTAATTATTCTTAATTTTGCAAACCTAAGATTGTATCTTCTTTTGCACAATACAAACATCTTATTGGTGTAACGAAAGGTATTAATGTTTGTTCATATACCGGAAAACGGCTTGGCCAAAAAAAAAAAAAAAAAAAAAAAAAAAAGTTTNAAAAAAAAAAAAAAAAAAAGGAAAGTTTCAATAAATTTGTGTATTTATTTTTGAGAGTGTAATGTCATCCTCAACATTCCATCTGTTCCTGCACTTTTTGTTTCATCATCTGAAAAGAAAGATCTTAGGAGGTATCAATTTTAAAAAAAATTACAAAATCATTATTTTTTTCTCTTTTAACGGGAAAATATTTAAGAAATATTTTGGCACGGATCTGAAAAGCTTTATAAAAATTTAATTTAGACATTGTTATCGAGATTCGCTTAACTTCATACAAGAGTATTATACTAACTAGGAAAACATTCTATAGTTTCGACATTTAATATATCTTCCCGAAATTTCAATTTTAAGAGAGTTTCGTCATTTTTTCTTTGTGCCTTGGAAATAATTATGCTCGATTCTAGCAGTGATGTGTCGAGCTCTTTAAACTCATTCACGCACAAATTTCAACATCCAAACTGCAACCAAATAATGTTTGAGCTAATGGAGGTGCATGTTCAGATATGAAAAATCTTATTTCATCTTAAAATTCTCAAAATCTTGCAAACACTTTTCTATGAGATAACCAACAGACTTACCTGTGACACACAACCTCGAGAGACTCTTTGGTGTGTCACTTTGGGTCGAAACTGGATAGTACTATAGTTTTAGCTGTTAGTCACTCTCACTTTTCGAAAATTATTTTACATTAATAATTAATAAAAAAAAAATGAAATTTCGTTCGCTTACGCTTGATACCGCACTCCTCTATGGTCAGTTGTATGCTATAAACTAGCCATAGAGGAGTGCACTAACAGGTTGAGAATCATTATTTTAAAACATAATATTCTTACCTATTGTAGAAAAATTACTTTCCATATGCCTTCCTTAACCTTCCATAAAATATCTAAATTGCAGTCAAATTCAATGTCCTCAATGTACTTAAAATCGAATTTGTGTGTATACATGTCACTACAACGAAATCCATATTCTTTGAGATAATAACGAAATCCAGGATAATAATTCAAGAATAATTTTACGTTCTTGCATAGTGCTTAAAAACTATATTATTGTATGCAATTCTCTCTGACAATAACCATAAGAAATCAATCCATGATTCATTATTAATGCACCGATAACAACAGTAAAACATTCTTATACCATATTTAAAATCAATTTTATATTATACATTTCATTCTAATGATCTTTTTTAAAGTTATTCGGAAATCCATGATAATTTTGACGTAAACATAACACCCTTTATTAGATTAATAATTCCAATATCTATTATAGGTATAATAATAATGTTTTTATCATTATATGGTGTTTGCATATACAGATGAACAGGTGACACTTTTGGTACCAACATTGCAAGAAGAACTTTTAATGGCTTTAGAAATTCACCCAAATAACTATAATTAGAATAAATATCGCGGAGAATTATCATAATACAGAAACGTAATGCAAGGCATATTTTTTCATCAGAAAACTTAAGTTTGAATGAAAAACAGAAAAATTACCTGATTTGTTGAATAGAAAGGTGATTGCAAAAATAAATTTAATTTCAAAAGTAGAGAAAATAACTTAAGTCTAAATGTAAATATCGCACATTTTATTAATTGTGTTTTAAAAAAAAAATACTTTTTAATTGGAAAAAAACTTATCAAAACAAGTTATTTTAAAATAATTTTCTCCGTTGATTTATCTGTTAAAATATCCAACAAAATATGCTTTTTTTTTGCATTTTTCGGTAAAATCTTTTCGAATTAAATTAGATGTTGAAATATTTTTTTTTGCCAACTTCTTTTATGTGTTACTTGCATAGATTGTTTCAAATAATATTTGGTCACATGTTATTGCCCTTTATAAAAGAAACCTTCCAGCTGGCTTCAATTGCAATACAGCAGAATAATTGAATTCATGATAAAATTTAAAAATAGCGAACGGAATAAAATAAAATTATTTTCCAAATTTAAAAAAACAAATTCCGGCATTTTGCATGCAAAAGCAAAACATAAAATAATGAGTCTAACTTCTAAGAATCAAATTGATATTGCGTCAGTTAATTTTCAGGATATTATGTTCACTTCGCATAAATTTTATCAGAATTTACTTTGAAAGTTTTTTAAAGAAACAGATGAAAAATAGGTTTTTATTTGATGTCATTGTTGTCTTATTGAAAACTATTGACTTTTTATGTATTTTCTTTAAAAGTTTTTGAAGAAATTCCTGCAATATACTTTAAAATAAAAGTTTTGTAATATGAACATGATATCTAAATAATTAACTGAGACCATATCAACTCGAATCTTATAAGCTGAACTCTTTATTTTATATCCTAATTTTGATACCAAATATAGATACTATACAAAAATAGATTTTCTTAATTCATTATTTAAAATGCTTTATTTTATAATTTAGCATGAGTTAAACATTTTTTCAAAATTTTTAAATAATTCTCTAAGTATTCCTTGAGAAATATGAGGAAGGAGTAACATGGGAGTGATTTCATTATTTTGGCCAACCCTCATATAACACTGATGTTCATACATAATTACTTTATTTTACGTATTGCTAGCAGTAATGATTAATCAGTATGCTTTTTTTTCAAATATTGGGTACACAGGAGAAGCTTGACCTGGTTTCTACAAAATATAAATTAATTAATTTACTTATTTGTTACCATCTCAAATTTTCCAAGACGATATTATTTTGCTTCTAATTTTTATTGATAGTTTAAATAATTGTTTTTTAAAGTCAATTATAAACTACTCATTTACTTAATAATTTTTCGTGAGTGTAGAGTGTGCAAAATAAAAAAGATAACAATCTGAACAATCAGGTTCTAATGATCGGATTTTGCATTTATTAAATACCATACCCATAATGCTCAATAGAATAACCTCAAATATGTAATTAATCTGCTAACAATCAATTAAGCAACACAATCAGATGCAAATACGTACTTCCTTTTTGAGAAACATACCTTTTTTGACGCATTTTAACTTTTTGCTATCAAAACTTGAGAGGGGGAGGTCATTTTCGAACTGAAAAATATGGCCTCGAGAGTTAATTCTGGAGAGTGGTGGAAAATTTGGGTCCTTGAATTTTGCTTCCTTCTCATTTTGCCATAGCACGGAAATCTTTTTAAGTGACTCAATAAATTTTTGGACACAATTATACATTTAATTACTCTTGAGATAAAAATGATTTTTAATATTTTTTTGTTATTTTGTTTAATAAGAATCGAAGCAATTTTACCTTTTAGAGTATACAAATTTGTATTTCATTTTAAATTATGACTTTAGAATGACAGAAATTTAAAATTTGAACGAAATCGTTAAAATAGTTACTCAGTAAAAAATGTAAAAGTTATGGCTTATTAAAATTTTTTCAACTCAAAAACTATTCAGCCGATTTTAAGCAAATTTTATATTTTTGTTTAAATTATAAAATTATTTTGTTTTGTCAAATTTTATATAATGGCTATTCCTTATAATTTAATATTTTTCGAATATTACTGAATGAAAAAACAATATAAACTATTAAAATTGTTATTCTGATTGGTTATCTTTATTGGACGTATCCACTGGACTACGATTTATCGAAGTTCGACTACGAATTAGTTCAAATTATCGACTATCATTCAGAGAATGCCAGTCAGGCTGCACGGGCCAGTTCATTGTCCTGTTTCCATAAGATGAATGTTAGAGTTTGGTAGGATCAATATATCCTTATTCAAATTCCTGAGTGACTGTAGAAACATTTCCAATTTGTGGCCGATGTTCCCGTTGCTTATATTTTCATGAAAGCTTTCTGTCGATTCAGTTGTTTAAATTTTCGAAATGAAAACTCTTATCTCTGATATTAAAAAGTATAAATTTAGTTCATGGAATAAAAATTATGACCAATAAATTTTTTTTAAAAATTTGCAAGCAGTATTAGCCATTCCTCTTTTCATATGAGATCAAGATGAAAGAATGTTAGATAAACACTTTTCCCCTTCTCGAGGAATAGCATTCATTTATTTTTTGTTGTTGTTTCCAGTGTCAGTTGCAACGCACGGGCGATAATGTAATGATGATAGTGTAAAAATCTAACAAAAACTAATAAAATAGTGCCTATTTTCTCTAAATGAACAAATTTTTTTTATTTTCAACAGATTTGCATATTTTAACTGTCAAAATAGGGAGGGAGACATTATTAATGAAACGGAAAATTTTTAAGCTCAATTATAAGAGGTTTTTAAAAGATAATTACTATTAAAAATTAATTTTTAATAATTGTAAGATATTTGAACTTTATTGATATGTGAGAGAAATCGCATGATCTAAACAGTTCAGAAAAATTTTAAATTATTTCCTGACAAAATTGGAAAAAAAATTTGCATAGAAGTGTTTTTATTATTTAGTCCAACCCTCGTATAATATCGATGATAATACATAATTACATAAGCATTTTAATTATGTTTTAGCCGTATTGTGTATTCATTATGCTTTTTTAGAATAAACAAGGGAATCTTGACGCTCTTTTTACAAAATATAAATTTATTTATTCATTTTTTATTTACCATCTCAAATTTTCAGAGGTGATATTGGTTTGAATCTAATATTTTTTGACAGCTCAAATATTTTTTTTTAACCTCAATTATAAACTACTCATTTAATCAATGATTTTTCGTGACTTTACAGTGAGCAAAATGCAAAAGATAACACCCTGAATATTTAAGATTCCAATGATGGGATTCTATTAATTAAGTATTATCTAGAATGGCTCATTAGAACAAATTCAATCATGGAATTAATCAGTACTAATTATCAATTTAGCTAAAAAATCAGATGCAAAAACGTACTTTCTCTCTAAGAAACGTACTTTTTTTGGTGTATTTTTAACTATTAAAACTTAGGAGGGGAATGTCATTTACGAACGGAAACATATGACCTCGTTAGTTTAGTCAGGAGAGAGATCGAAAGTTTGAGACCCTAAATGTTAATTTTAATTTCTGCAAATTTTGCCAGACCACGGGAATCGTTTCTAAGTGAATCAAAAAATTTTTGCACTTTACGACACGTTCAATTTCTCTCAAGGTAAAAAATAAATTTTAACAGATTTTATTATTTTTTTACTATTTTGTTTAATAAGGGTCGAAAAGATTTTAACTTCTAAGGTATACAAATTTGTCTATCATTTTAAACTATGTAATTTAAGCTGATAAAAATATAGTCTCAGTAATAAATTTAAAAATTGTGGCTGATTAAGTATTTCGTAACTCAGAGCTATTCAGCCGATTTCGCTCAAATTTTGCATTTTTGTTATTTAAAATGGTTTAAAAATTGCTATACATTATAATTCAATATTTTACGACCGTAATTAAATTAACGTTAAAGAATCTATTAAAATTATTATTTTCATCAATTATTGTTTAATCTAAACCTATAAGAATAAGCAAAATTTTTGTGAATATTTTAAAAACATTTTTGAGGTGTGGGGAAACAGAAAGGGAAATTTGCAATAAGGGATCAAAACTCTTAAGAACTGTCTTGCTGCAGCTTTTAATAACATAACCTTTTCCCCTCTGTATTTTGATGGTCGAAAATTCAAATCCGTTGAAAAAAGAAAAGATATTCATTCAGTGAAAGTATGTCTCATGTTATATCTAACAGTTAAAACTAGTTAATCAATATTTTTGAGATTCCTTATTTAAACCATTAATATTGGCATTTTTTTGAAAAACTGATCATTATAAAAAAAAAAGTTATTATTTTTTATTGCTCACTTTAGAAATTGGATGAAACTTCAATCCATGAGATGGGTATGACCCAGTATGGGAGAGGTTTGACCTAAGAGAATTAAAACACTTATTAAATTCGTTTCAGCAAATTCTAAGGAAGTGTTACAGACAATAATTTGTCTAAAGAAATATCTAATATTTAACTGCTAGTGAAATACACATATGTAAAATTCCTGTAAATACGATGTGAAGCTTTGTTTATAATAGAGGGTTGGGTGAAAAATTTATAGCTTCTCCTGGGTTATAATATGACGCTTTGACGTACGTGTTAGCTCATTTATTATTAAAATTGCAAAACTTGTATTGGTTTTCTATTCATGGTCCAATATAATCATGATTGCAACCATCAAGTGGTTCCGTAAAAGGCACTTTTATATTTTAACGGTAACAAACACATGCGACCTTTTTACAGAATTCGAACTACTTCAAAATTAACGAACATATGATTAACAGCTTTTTAGATGGCTTATTTATTTATGTTGAACCATTAAAAATTTCCTCCATTGGAAATCAAATGCTGGAATAATTATGAAGAACTATTACTACATTGTTGGAATTCAGACTGATACGTGATAGGTCAACATAAAAAAAAATAATAATTTGTTATGCTCTGCCTCTGCACTGCCAACAAGAATTTCTATCATAGTTTCTTGGAAATTTATTTCAGTTACAATGATCATCATTAAGTGGTGGACATTGTTTGACTGAAAATTCCATCCATACGTTATTAGTTGACTATCAAATCAGTAAATCATTATCTTTCACCATGGAATGCTGGATATTATTGGTCCTAGAGTACCAAACATAAGCTAATGGGAGACGATTATAGCTGTGAAATATCTTCCATCGTAAGGTGTAAAAATTTTGTTGACCCATGAAAATCAAATTTCTCTTGATGGTATTCAGTCATAGTATTAAGACAGCATTTAACAACAGCATTTCCATCAGTGAATGATTGAATATTTCCTGGATAATTTGCTGAGGTATCCTGCGTCTTACACTTTGAGAAACTCTTTAAGTTTACCATTTTCTTGTAGAAACCTAATTTAAAAAAAGAGAATATCTAATCAATAAAAAATCTAATATCTAATATAAAATAGAAAATATCTAATATCTTATTAAAAAAAAATAGAAAATTTTAATCATACGTGATTACAAAACTAATATTACATCGTTATTTTGTCACAATACAGGCACCTTAGTAGTATATTGAACTGTATTAAAGGTTTTTTTTCTAAAATACATTCTATAAATAATATACAAAAACAACAATAATTTAAATTATAATAATCCTTGAAAGGTAACTTTTTCATTACTCAGCTTGTAAAGTATTTTTAAGTCTGGAACATTAGTAAATCTCTCAAATGTAGAAAAAATCTTTCAGTTAGTAAAAATCTCTCAAGTCTCTCAACTCTCAAAGGTTTGAAATTTTTTTTTCCTCAACGCGATACCTCATTGTAGTGCACTGTGGAAGATAAGAATGACGAAACTAAGAAGAAATTTAGACGATCAAAAATAAAACGAAGAAAGAAGCTGACTGGAGTGTATGGTGAATATGGTGATCTCGTACCAGGAAGATCCGGGTTTCGAATCTTGCTTCAAACATGTCTGTAATATATCTTTCCTTTCTACTTGTATGTCTTGCGTTACTAAGGTGACATTGATCCAGCTATATGGTGCCTACGATAAAGAGATTATTAGAAAAGTTTGATACATTAGCCACTAACAGGTTTGTTTTATTTATTATTTTTTGGAAAAAATAAAATGACAAAAAATTTATTCACTATTGACGTAATTCTTTTCTTCTAAACATTAAAAGAGCTTATTTCATCACTTCGACGATAAGTTCAGTCGGAGCATACACCTGAAAACGTTTTCGTTAAAAAAATGGCAATATTAATTTTTTACAATGCAATGTCATCTTCAGCATCTAATCTGCTCCTGCATTTCTTGAAGCAGCATATGAAGAGAAAGATTTTAGGAGGTATCGTTTTGAAAAGATTTAAGGGTTCGTGATTTTAAACTTCATTTTTTCGGGAAAAAGGTTTATAAATGTTTTTGAGCAAATCTGAAAATCATTATAAAAAATTAATTTAGAGATTTCTTAAGGAGATAAGTTTTATTTAAAACGAAAGTTTTATGGAAAAGAAAACACTCAATATTTTCTTCAGTATTTAATATATCTTTCCGAAATTACAATTTTAAGAGAGTGTCGTCGTTTTTACTTTATACCTTGGAATTAGTGATGCTTGTTTTTTTAGTGATGTTTTGAGTTTATTAAAATAGTTAAAAATATATGTTAGACACGCAACTTTTATTTTCCGAATTGCATCATTCAATGTTTAAGATAATGGAGGTGCATGCTCAGATATGAAAATTCTTATTTCATCTTAAAATTCTCAAAAGCTTGCAAACACTTTTCTATGAGATAATCAACAATCTTACGTATGACGCACAGACACACAACCTCGAGAGACTCAATGCGTCACTTTGGGTTGAAACTGTATAGTATTTTGCTTTTAGCCTTAGGTCAGTCTCAATTTTTAATTTATTCCTACATTTACAAATAATAATAAAAAAAAACTCGTTTACTTCAGCTTGATATTGTGCTCCTCTTCAGCCAGTAGCATGCTTCAAACTGACTGTATACGAGCCGACTAACGAGACTAAAGGGTTGAATAACTAACTTTTTGACTAGATATAGTTGACTATGAAATCAGTAGAATATTATCTTCCAACAGGAAATGATGGATATTATTGGTCCAACAGTACCAAACATAAACTAATGGGAAACCATAATAGTAGGGAAATATTTTTCATCATAAGATGTTGGAATTTGTTGACCTATGAAAATCAAACATCACTTGATGGTTAACCATTTAAGTATTAAAACAGTATTTTCATCAGTGAATGATTGAATTTTTCTTGGAAAACAAAACGTAAGAACATTTTATGAAAAAATATTGGATGATGATGATCATCATGAATCGATCTGAAACCATCATAAAAAAATCAAAATCTATTGATGGAGCTATCACGAATTGGGTAAAAAGATAGTTTTATCCCAGCTGATGATACTTATTAAATTACATTTCGAAATATTTAAAAAAGTATTAGTTTCTTTTATTTATTTAGAATTTATTTGCATGAAAAAAAAGTAATTATTTTTTTAGGAAATATTCAAATTTTTAAAACCAAAATGTTTAATTTCATATTTTTAGTAGGAATAAGACAGTCTCTTTTTTCCTACAAAAATAAAAACCAATGATTAATAAATTTTAACGTTATGTATGACTAAAACGTTTTAAAAAGAAATACAAGCAAATTAATAATATTTTAAGTTAAATTATATTAAAGATATTTTATGATTTTAAAAACTGGACAACTAACTGGCAATAGATAAGACCACTAATGGGATGATTAACTTACTAACTGGTTGGCTACATGCACTATATAAATTATAAAATTCTTACCATCTCATGTATAAAAACATTTCTTGTGGCAGCTTGAAGATTCCGCATAATATCTAAACCGCAATAAAGTTTTACGTCCTCAATATACTTGAAATCCAATATATGTGAATACAGGTCACTACAACGAAACATCCATATTCCTTGATGTAATAACAAAATCCAGGATAATAATTCAAGATTAATTTGACGTTCTTATACCATATTTAAAATCAATATTATTGTATGCATTTCTCTCTGACAATATTTTTAAGGCAATAAAGAAATCAGTGCTGAGATTATAAATTCATGATTCATAATTAATGCAACCGTAACAATAACGCAGCAAACTCATACCATAGTTAAAATCGATTTTATATTATTTTTTCATTCAAACTACCGTTTTTAAAAGTTATGAAAAGAAATCTATAATAATTTTGACATAGAAATACCAGCATTTATTAGATTAAAAATTTCAATATCTATTCCAGGAATAATAATAACTTTTTTATTATCATTCTATGTTATTTGCATTTACAGATGAGCAAGTGGCACTCTTTGTACTAACATTGCTAGAAGAACTTTTAACAGCTTTAGAAAGTCACCTGAATAACAATTATTAAAATAATATTGAGAACAATTTTCAAAGTACAAAAACATAATGCAAGGCAAATTTTGCAATCAGCATACTTAAGTTTGAATAAAATGAGAAATATCCTGATTTGTTAAATATTAATGAGATAGTCAAAAATAAATTTAAATTCAAAAGTTGGGATAAAGAACTTAAGTTTGAATGTACATATCGCAAATATTACCAATTGTATTTTAAGAAAATTACTTTTGAATTTTAAAAAGTACTTACATATGCCAAAAAAGGTTTACTTTTAGTTCCATTTCATATGTGTTAATTATATTTTTTATGCTGAAATAGCAAGCAAAATAAGCTTTTTGGGATTTTAAGGTAAAATCCTTTCAAACTCCAAGCTGTGGAGTTAAATGAAATAGTTAATTTTGCCACCGTGTGTGTTGTATACATAGATTATTTCAAACAACATTCGGTCACGTGTAATTCGCCTTTATAAAGGAAAAATACCGGCTAGCTTGAAGTCCAAAACAGAAAAATACGAAAATTCTTGCTAAAATTTAAAACTTTCAAAGAGAATGAAATAAAACAATTTTGAAAAATTAAGAAAAAGTCTCTACATTTGACAAGAAAAAGTAACTCATAAAGTGAATGAGCCTAATTTATAAGAATGAAATTGGTTTATTATTCTTAATTTTTTAGATATTATGCTTATATTGAATAAATTGTATCTTATAAGTTATTGCAAAAATTTACTTAATTTTTTTGATGGAAACAGATGAAAAGTAGAAATTTCGTCATTATTGTTTTTTTGTAAACTACTGACTTTTCATGTATTTTCTTTAAAAATCTTATAAAAATTTCTTGCAATATATTTTAGGATAAAAGTTATAGGAAATGAACACAATATCTGAATAATTGACTGAGACAATATCAACTCGAAACTTACAAGTTATATTCATTATTTTGTACATTACTTCTTGACGTAAAAATATAGAAATTGTTTCAACTCTTTTCATAACATTGTTTTATTTCATAACTAAGCATGATCTGAACACCTCTAAGGCTTTGAAATAATTCTCTTTCTGAGAAATATGACAAAAATTGAATTTGTACGGAAATGTTATCATTATTTTGTCTAATCCTTGCATAACACTGATGATAAAGCATAATTAATTTAGTCTTAATGTTATTAGTCTAACGTATTGTTAGTCGAAATGAGTAAACAGTATATATTTTTTTTCCTGCATAGGGTAAACAGGGGAAGTTTGACCCTCTTTTTACAAAATACAAATTAATTAATCTGTTACAATCTCTAATTTTATTTTTCAGCATTTATATCTGCATAATGACAATTTATATTATATTGATGATGCTCTAAAATTAATTAATTCTTGATTTCTTAGAGTGACGTGACGAAACGTAAATTAGGTGTTTTACTTTCTTCCACTCTTTCTTAAAATCATTTTCTTTCGCTCCATTGTAGGAAATATGGCAAATCAAATGCGTGTTATGAGTTTGTTTTTTCGAAATAGTCATGTCTGTTCAGAATTAGCGACTACTTGTGCATCATTCAGAGAAATGATGAATGCCAGTCAGACTGGACAGGCCAGTCCATTGTCCCGTTTCCAAAGGATGATGGATAGAATTTGGTCCGGTTTAATATAATCATTCAAGTTCCTGAGTGGTTGTCGAAGCATTTCCAATTTGAGTCAGAAGTCCACGGCGCTTACTTTTTCTTTTATTCAGTTGTTTAAATTTTCGAAAAGAAAACTTTATATCTTTTTGGTTGAAAAATATGAACTGAGTTCACGGGATAAAAAATAGGACAGATAATTTCTTTTCTTTAATTTGTAAGCAAAATTAGTTTTTCCTTTCTTTAGATGAAAATTAGATAAAAGAAAATTTTCTTAAGTTAAACAATCAACGTTATATAAATACTTTATCCCTTCTCAATAAGGAATCTAGAAGAATTATCGCGTATTTTTTTCCCTCCTGAGTCCGTCGCTATTTACAGGTGCATTCAATAAGTTATAAATTCTGACAAAAATTTATAAAATAAAACCTACTTCCTCTATATGAACAGATTATTTAATTTCAGCAAATTTGATTTTAAAGGTGTCAAAATAGGGACATATTTCGGAACACATCTCGGATACTTTATTAGCGAATCGAAAATTTTTTCTCTCAGTTATAAAATTCATTTAAAAAAGAATTTGCAGGGAAAATTCATTTTTAATAATTATAAAATATTCTTCTTTCTCGTTTATCTAATCATGTTTGAATTTTAAGGTGTTCGAATTTCATAGTTATTTTAATCTATATGTTTAGATAGCAGAATGTTTAGCAGAATGTTTAGATAGATGTTTTATACAAATCCGCAATTCGGATGGCGGATTGAATCGTTGACTGTAAACATGACAGCCCCAAGGTTAGGTGTGGTCCCTGTGTATAAAGGAAAAAACAACATTAAGGGGTACAACAGCAGAAGTTCTATAAACGATTTTGCACCCTCCTCTCCTCCTAACCAATACTCGGCATGGGGAAGCGTTGGGGAGAAGAAGAATTTATAGTTTGTTTGTTATGTATTTTACACACTCTTGATAAACAGTGCTCAACTATTAATTAAAATTTTTCTCTGAGAAAACATTTATATTATTCATGTTAATTAAATCTTCCAACACAATTTGATATAGGAAGAAAGAATAAAATGGTGGTTGGCGAGAAGCAGCGCACTCAACTCTCAACCATGATTGCAGAGGTGTCCAACAACCGGTTCACTTTCAAGGGAACGGTTCACCGGTGGCGTAAATCCTGACTGTCACTTTGCTTCGTATACGCATGCGCTGGATCTTAGTTCAAATGACGCTCTGCTAAATCTGAGTATATTGCTCACCCTGTAAGTTGTTTATCTGGTGTGACGTACTGAGCCGAGCAGTTCCTCGCGTTAATTGGGTATTCGAAAGAGCTGAACTTCTCCTTTTTATATTCTTTGGTGCAGCTAGCTGGGTCTAGAGTGGACATATGCCCCGAGGCGCGGTCGCAGAGGTCCACCAAATTCATGAGAAAATATTAAAAATGATTTATGAGTAAAATATTTCTGTCTTTCAAATATCCCTAGATTCATTTGCTATTTGCAGGGTCAACAACTTCAACTAATTTTTATTTAATTCACCTAAAAATTAAGAAGGATTTCTATTAATATTGCAAATTGTAGGCGTTATTTTCTTTTAAATTATTTTCAACAAATTGGCAACATGGTGAATGAAAAATATTTTTTGTAAATCATCATTCTAGCAATAAATGGTCAATTTGCTTTGATATTTTAACCAATCATTTGCTTATAACAACGTTGCACTTACGTATATAAGATATAAGCATACATATCGCCCATGAGCTGCAATAGAGGCACAACTCAAAAAATCATGTTTTGAGAATTGAGGGCTCAAAATTTTCATTGCTAAGGAAAATGCATAAGAAATTCTTTAGAGGAGAATGTGTATTTAGAAGAGAATGTGTATTTTCATATTTACATCTGTTCTTAGTCCAAAACACGTGTTTTTTGAGTTGCGCCACTATTGCAGCCCATGAATAATAAAAAAAATTCAAAATAAAAAATAATATTTTTAAAAACCACGTTTTTGTAGTGGAGAATAACAATTAAAAAAAATTGAAAAGCGAAAAACGTGGGGCGCATGAAATACATAACAGTAATGTTATATTAATGTGTGTATGTGTGCTCTTGAGAATATGTGTATGTATATCTGTAATTGCAATTGTATCTGAATGTGGAAGCGGAATATGTTTGTGTATATGCATATGTATGTGGATGTATATGTGGCTGTGCATGTGTATGAGTAAGAAAATGTGTATATGTATGTGTATATGTACTGTTATGTATTTCATGCACCCCACGTTTTTCGTTTTTCAATTTTTTTAATTATTATTCTCCACTACAAAAACGTGGTTTTTAAAAATATTATTTTTTATTTTGAATTTTTTTATTTTAAATTATAATTTTTTTAATTTTTATTTTATATTTTTTAAAAATTATTACTTTTCAATTATTATTCTTCACTACAAAAAACGTGGTTTTTAAAAATATATATTTTTATTTAGATTATTTTTCTTAGTCAAGAGTAGTCAAGACTACTACAAGACCACTACTAAAATAATAGAACTTTCATTTTAAATTAGGGATACAAAAATCTTTATAGAAAAACAATACCTTTACGACTTTCATTAGTTTTATGCTGATGACAACCAAAACAATCTGGAAATGAATGAGGAAAAACTGGATCCTACCACGTGATTTTTCAGCCAATAAAAATACTCCGACAATAAAAATCTTTTCACCTGACATGTAATACTAATTTGAAATAATCGAATCGACAACGAAAGACAATCTCGAAAATAATTTTTTTTTAAATTTTAATTTTATTTTGCTTTGTATGTCTTTTTTCTCTTCATTTTCATGCATTGTCATCCA